CAGCAGCTTGACATCATAAGTCAAACAGAATTTGAACTGAAGTGTGGTCATATTTTCATGCAACTAATCCCTATCCTACTAACATCTAAAATATATAGGCTACTGGAGGTTAGGTTGATTAGCATCATTCTTTTCATACAAAATTTCAAATAATATTTAAATAAAAATGTTTTTCCCCAAAGTCACCTGGATGCCCTGCCTGTTTTGTGGAAATGACATAATAAGAGATTTAAGGGAAAGGAGGCTTGCACTATGCCTAATGTTATGTTGTCAGGGGAAGCAATAGCAGCAGTGATTCACACAACTACCCCTGCACTTAAATTACATGCACAAGTAAAGTAATTCAAGCCTTCCATGGTGGAGCCTCAAATGACTTACAGGAAGACTCAACTGAAAAACTGCAGCCATTTGGGGATTCTGATCCATGTATTTATACATCTAACAAGTAGATATGAATTAACTCATCTCTATTTCATTGTATATTCATTGGAACTTTCAGTGCACATTAGACTGGAGAGGACAAGCCTGTGGTTTAGGCAAGATATTAGTGGAAAAAATGTTATGGAGGCCTTTGTGGTAGTAGAAAGAGAACTAGCCTAACCAGTTCTTAAATCAGCCACTAACAACAAGTTTTTTCCTAGCCTCAGTTTGAGCTTCTATATAAAAAGAAGGCTTTGGATCGATAATATAGACATTTTTGAGGCTCTGTAGTTTCAATGCCAGCACTGCTGACTTTGAGTTCATTTTGAAGATTAAAGCATAAAAATAAAAACAGTAAAAGCAATTCTTCCTGAGTATTATTTTATTCTTGTAACCTTACACGAACCCTATGGAGTAAAGACGGTTATTATCTTCATAATAATAGTTCAGAGAGGTTAAGTAACTTACCCCAAACCATAACTAGTAAGTGGTAAAGCTAGGATTTGAACTCAAGTAGTTTGTTTCCAAAGTTTGCATCAGTGACTTAGAATATAAAAAACACCAAACAGAACAAAAATCTTTTCAAGTTTAACTTTTGTGTTAATCATTAAAATGTAACATGGATGTATTACTAAAAGACTAGTAGATGGGTGAGATTTAAATAATTTTCTCTTAACTCCTGCAGTAGTTTTGATTTTCTGCAAACTTTAGTATATTTTCTTTGTCTGACAACTCATTATTTCCTATGTTCAATAACATCTCCCTTCAGTGAGAGATGTTTTTCTAGCAGAGTTGGCAAAGGTAGAAATCTCACACATTGGGTTATTTAAGAGGTCCTGGGAGAGCCTTAGTTGCAGAGTACAAGGTCTGCTTTCATCTCAGCAGCATATGCCTTCGCTGTTGGTTTGCTTCTTTGAAAGAATAATCAAACACCAACACAGAAGAGGACAATCCCAGGATACAAGAGAGTGTATAGGAAGATAAACAAGTTAGAAAATCAACTTAGATATCAGTTCACAGATATGAAATAGCTTCTTAGGAAAAATTTGTAACAATTTATAACAGCTGAGAGAAAGGGGGGATGCAGATAAGGAACTATTTTTAGAACTTAATAGACTGAGAACTGATCACACAGATACTAACTACAGTTGGGGATGTCTTCTTGGTTAAGAACAAAGTCTGGCTAAACAAATCTTCTTGCTTATGCCTTATCTAAAGAAAGTTAGAGGACTACAGAGAACTTTCTTAATTATAGAGCACTAAAGAATTGGATAATCATTTATTTGAATATCATAATAATGTAGTTTCCACTCTTGAAAGGAGTGCAAGTCAAAAATGAACATTAAGCCACACAATGTGAGAAGAGCTTCAGTCATGTGTTCCCATGGTCAACTGACTTTATTGACTGCAGAGGAAGCCCGCTCTAGAGAAGCCCGCTCTAGACTAGGCAAAGCAGAAGAAATCTCAGCATTCTTCATGGAAAACGTGGATTCTGACACCTGGAATTTAAGTGATTTTTGTCTTATTTTCTTACCAATTATTTCCCTTTCGTAAAATGGTTTCAGACTGCCTTATTGAATAAATGTTAAACCATGTAATCTCTGGCTCAGAATTCCTCTAGAAGACCCAGTACAGGATATGAAAAAACACTGAACTGTCAAGAAAATGGATCCTTAATTTTTACTTGTTTCTTCATCACTGCCTTCAGTGAAGCTAGTCCATTACATGTGATTCTTTTACAAATTAATAAATCCTCAAATCAATACAAATCCTCAAATTAAGTCCTCAAATTAATATAAATCAATTTCATCATTTTTATTCCTTGAACTTTCTATTAATGCAAGAAGTTGGTAATATTTTTGGAATTTACCTATATGGCTTTCACTTTTCTGAAATTGGCTCAGAATATCCGAGGTAAGCCATCCACCATTTTTCACCATTCTTCACTTGATATTCACTTGGTTCTAGTCATTTCTCCTCATATCCTAGATTCAAGCCTCATCGTTGTCCAGATTTAAGGAGGAGGGTTAGCCAGAAGCAAATTCTGAAGTTCTGAAGGAATTTATTTAATGGTATCTCCTAGGAGACATAAGGGCACAGCATTTATTTAGATACAAAACCACCACCAAGGAGGTGGCTGTCACCAATGCCATGGTATAGTTTTTTATCATGGTAGATTGGAAGCATTATCTTTTCTTCACCCCAATTTTTCTCTCCAGCTCATCTCAGACTGTCACAGCTTTTGCATGGGAGACGATTCCAATGAACCAAATAAACAACAAATGGTTTAAAGCATTGAGTTAGCAAACATTTCCGTTGTGACGTCATCCAGCAGTTATCCACCCAAGCAATCCTGAAGCCCCAGGTACCTCCTCCCTACCTGGGAGGAAAAGGTATACCTGGCAGAAAAGGTATTGATTTTAAAAGAAAGTGCTATTTAAAAATTCATATGTAAGTCATTTTTATGTTATATTTCTTAAAATCTTCATTATGGAGAGTTTAGCTTTTACGAAATGGCTAGAAAAGAACTCATTTTTTCCCCAAATGGTTTTATTATAACAGTGCTACACTGTTTATGTTTGATACATATTGCTTAACATGCATAAAACATTAAGTCAAAAGACAGTTTAAAACTCTTCTGCTTAAAACAATTTTTATTTTTGGTAAAATATTTAGATCCATTTTTACAAAGCAAATGAAGTTTTAGGTTATCCTAAAGATCGACTTAAAGAAAAAACTTTCAAAACACCTCCATGTTTTTCTCTTATATAATCTTTACTGTGACCTTTTCATCTATCTTAGTAATACAGCCAAATTCCCATATCTTAAATTGGGATTTAAGAAACAAAGTTAAAACACTTTGAGCATCTGAATATGCTTTTGCACTTAGAATAAGGGTTGTTATGATTATTAATTTTACCCTCATGCATACACATGTCATAAGCCAACGCGTGCACTCTAGACTCCAGAGCAAGCTCTATGGAGAAGCAAGCGGCAGCAGCAATAACAACAACGCAACTTTGCAGCCCTCAGCGGGCTGCCGCACAGGCTGTGGTTCCTCTCTCTCCAGTACTAGGAGCACTGAAAGTTTGATTGCAGCAGCAGACTTGTTTTGGAAGCTCAGGCTGCTTCTGCTTCTGCTGCTGGATGAATGCTAGGGATACAGGCAGGGAGGGGATTGTGTTCCCTGGGGTATCTTTAAAATCCACAATTCTGGGTTAAAACATAGCACTTAATTAGTTTGTAATCTATCTGGAAAAACATTAGGTTTTTATTGTGACAAAAAGAAAATTAAAAAAAAACTCAGTATTTTACATACAATTAGAAATAAAGGATCTGGATAAGGACCTTTTAGAGACCCAGCTAAGACAAATGATGTCAGGAAGCAGGCAAGGTAGTCTCTGTGGGGTAATGGGTAAATATCTTGACCAACCAGAACTGACTTGAAGAGATGTATACCATAAGGGTAACATACATAAAAACACTCTAAACCTTCACTAGCATTGTTATACTCAAGCATTTAATTGATAAAACTGTTTTATTTAAAAACGAGAGTTAAAAACTAGGATTTACACAGAATCCCATTTCCGGATCCCTGTTTAACTTGAAAATTATCTTACTATTTTCCTGAAATTCTACTTATAATACATATTCACAAATTCCTCCACGTGTTATTCTAGTCCGTAACCCCTTTTGTATATAAGAAAAGCTATGTATTGTACACCATAAAATCTGTAGACATTGTCAACATAATAAATTCCACTATATATCTCATGTAAGTTATTTCTACCCACTAACAGTAAAAAAAAAAAGGACCTATTTTTAAAGACTAATACAGCATTTGTTACTGAGAAGTATGTAGGAAGGAGTTCAATATAAAGTATTTTCTTTGGATAGATACTTTCAAGGTATTTAAAATACACAAAGTATTATTTATACCATACTAAACTTTCTTGAATGTTCTATGAGCATTTGTAGAATACAAATGTAGCAAGTCCATAGCCCTTAGCTGGAGCAAAAGATGTTCTTATGATCTCCCCACACCAAGAAGATGGAAAAAAAACTTAACTGCAACCATTTCCTTTGTTCCAAGAAGTTCAAAAAGCTTCAGCAAATCCCTGTGATTCTTAAGTCATTATTAGTGATATTCTTATATCATTATTAACAGTAAAAGAAGAGGTAACAGAGATAAGAATCAGGACTCTTAAGAATCAGCTCTAAGGCCTTAATCCACCAAACCACACGGCATTTTACAGTAGTAAACAGCTTCCTTTGGCACTGAAAAAATGGATGTTTCAAAATGTTTAGGAAATTTCCCCATCCAATATGATCTTCAGATTTTTTTTTTTTAAATCTGAACAGGTTTACGACAGCTTTTTTTAAAAATTAGAGAATTAGGAATGATGACACATCCAGTTTGGGGGTGTGAACGAGAACATTTGAATTATAATCATGATCAGCTACAAGAGTTTTTAAATAAGTGCCAAATTAGCCCAACACAGTGAACTTCACTAGGTTATTTTAAGTAATTTGGTCCAAATACCCAGATTTGACCATTCTGTTATTTCGGTTCATTCTAGTCATAGATGGGAACAAGAATCTTCTGTATAGAGCACATTACATGACCCGCGTAGCTCCGTTGGAACACTGGAGAGGGGACAAATGACCCTTTCTGTCACTATTACATTTTGTGTGAGATGTGGATCAAAGACTGTAGTGGTGGGTTGCACAAAGGAACCAGAAGCTGAGTAAGTCTCCGTTACCACATAGTTACCATGCTGCAAAGGGGCAGGAATGGCAATGGCTTGCTGCATAGATCCAGAAGTGGAAAAAGCAGAAGCTCCTTGACCACCAGGCAACGTCTGGTACCTATCATGTCCTGCCTGATGGACTTCTAGGGAACGACCACAGGGGTCAATTCCAGAGCCACTGTCTTTAGAGGGTGCCTGAGCTTGTTTGGCTTCATCATCAATACCGAGACTTATCTCTGCAAGCTTTTTAAATTTGGGGCCAAGTGAGTCCAAGTAGCTGTCATCGAGGTCATCAGCAATGAAACTGCAACAACCCAGGGAGCCCACAGGAGAACCCAGGTCATCATCCATGCCTTCGTTATCATAGATCAGCAAGCAGTCGCTCGCCTCCTGGACATCCTCTTCCTCTGCACAGGCAAATGCTTTCTAAAGATGGAGAGAAAGTGAAAAAAAAAGAATTTTAAGAAAGCTATTGAACGATCTAATACTGTTCATGGAACTCAAGATTTGATTATGAATGCCCAAGTTAGATAATCCATAGAAGTAAAGAAGTCATCTTTATATTAACATTTTATTCTCAAAATTGTCAACAATAATATGTATAGTTGGCATTCCATCAAAATTGAGTCTAGCCTAGGCCTATGTCTTAGTTCTTGATTTTATATGATTTTGGTCTGCATAGCAAATGTGCATGATGCATGGGGCTGTTATTGGGTTGAATGTGAGGGTCTCTGAGTATGCTTATCTTTTTGCTGGGGGTGGTGGCGGGGGAGGTCTCCAGCTGTGCACGGAGACAGCTGTCACTCTAACTAGGCACTTTCCCTAGACTATATCCTGTGGAAGCCTGGGTCATACTAGGCCTCATACTATATCTTGAAATATCCCATGCGTCTTCATCCTAATTAAGTGTTTCTTGCCAGTCTCTCCTCAAATACAGTGTGAGCCCTCATCTGCTCAGACACGTTAGACACCAGCACTTAGTATTGCTGATACCAAAACTCGAGGAGAGGTCTTTCTAAATGTGTCTCTTCCACCCCTAATCTTTGGTCACCAGACAAGAGGGCAACAGGCTTCCCACAGCCTTCTCTGTTCCTTCACCCTGGGTCCTTTTCTGTTCCATATGTCCTGACACCTTGTTTCTCCCTGCACTGATCTTTAATCTCATTCCTTTTTCCTCTTACTTTTGGGTCAATAATTCAGTGGCTTTTCAACATTTTGGACATGGAGTCCTAGGACAATGTGTAGAATATTATAACTCTCTCAGGAAAATACATGCACGTGTGTTTTGACATATTTCATGCTGTAGGAAATACAAAATAAACTTCTCTGTATTCTTAAGCAGGATATTACTGATCCCCAAACAGAAGATTTTGCCCTCAGTTTTTTTTTTCCAGTTGAGGGGATGAAAGACCACTTGTTATATTCTCCCACTTGTTTTTTATTATCTGTCCATTCTTTTTTTAGTCAGTGACTCAATTTTGACAGCCACCTTAAGTTATTTGTATTATTTTGGCAAGAAGAACCTTATTTTTTTCGTTACATTTTAACAAACTGTAGCAAAACGAACCACAAACTGAGGTTTATCAAGTAAAAAAATCTCTAATGTAAATGAAATAACAAAGTCCCAAGGTTTGTTACTCAGTTACCTGAGAAAAATAAGAATCTAGGAAATTCATGTTTATCTGTCCGTCAGCATAGTCCTTCATGGTTCCTCCCGTGGAATGCCTTGTTCTTATGGTTCCTGACTGCCCAACAGAATAAGGTCCAAGTCCAGAGGCTGCTCCAAATCCCCCTGCAGCTCCAGATCCATTTGCTGCGCCCAGCCTTGTGGTCAGTTCCATTCCTGAAGCTCCTTCCACTACTGTGCCTCCAGCATATGTATTTGTACAAACTTCTAGAAAAGGGGAGAAAATTCTCTAACATCTCATGCTGTTTTTTTTTAAAACTGGTCTTTGCTTGTCCCTGATTAGTTAGTCTTATAAAGCAAGTATGTTGGAGAAAATACAATTATGTGAATAGAGGTGGTAAGAACATTGCAGGGGGTGTTATGTGAAAGTAACAGAGGAAGAGACATTAGCAGGTGAAAAAACTGAAAATATACTAATAAAAAATATAGTAAGGAAACAGATTTTCAGTGACAATAGCCAGAAGCAAAAAAGTAAAAACAGACAATCCAGTACACAGCCATGGGCTGCTTCTAATCAAGCCTTGTTTGTTCTCCTGTAAAATAGTTATATTAAGCAGTCATATTGGCTTAGTATAGAAACCAAAGCAAACTAATGGATGCTGATTTTGTGTCTTGGTGCCCCCCAATTTAATAAATATGAATATTTGTCTCTTAACTATACATTATACTTTCATGATTTATTTTTCTAGACAATTCTGAATATGGTTTTTACTTTGTTATTGTAATGGGAGAAGCAAATGAGTATTAGAGAAGTTGAAATAAGCAGCTGCGTATTTGGAGAGATCTCAAGCAGATTTTGTAGGCTATACACTTAAAGACAATCTATTGCTAAGTATAGAGTTAAGAGAAATCTATTAGTAAGCAGGTTTGATTGTTCTGCTAGTTTACAGTGTAGTTGTAGCACTGAGATAATATGAATAAGATTGTTACTTGGTAAAACTGAAGAAATAAACAAATTTACTAGGATGACAACATCAGAGACGAGGTCCCCTTATGACCAAATGTAAGGATTAGTAATTGAACTCAAAACAGGGTATTGTAAATCCTGGTAAAGGAGGAAGGTGAACAGGATTGAGGATGTGCACACATGGGACTTTTGCATATATATGACCAATTTTAACAAAGACAAAGTTGGGTGGTGGCTACCTAGATGTTTGTTACATTTTCCCTTTAATTTTTCAATAGATGTGAAATATTCCCTAATTTAAAAATGATAATTACTTGAGAGCTATACTTCAGTTTATTAAAATTTGGAAAAAGTATAGCTAGTCTTTAGATACTCAAAATGATGGCATTGAGAATATATTTATGCCTGGCCGATGGCGTGGAAGTGGCTAATACACAAATATTAAACCATGTGTCCCCCCCGATTTCAGTAGTAGGAGCTCCTGTCATGTACGACATATGCAAATTATTAGAAACATTATTTTGAACACTTCTTATTTTTGAATATATTTAAAATCCACCAGTGCATTAAAAAATAAATTTGATGTTCACTCACCAGAACTTTCCATAAAATCTGCTCCATTGGTTGTTATAGGTGGCACACAAATATTTGTGATTTCCTGCAAATCATGTTAAAAAATAAATACATTTACAACCAGATTTCAGAGCAATATAGGTGAAATATGGCCTTTTGTAAATTACAGCATTTCAAGAAGCCCAAACTCTTGCAGAAGTAACTGGTTTTTTAGAATTTTATTTGTGAAGAGCTAAAATCCTAAAAGGCCACATGCATTATAGCATTGATTCTCCACTGAGGGTCAAGAAATTTCTAATTTTTATATCCCCTTATCCTCTTCCTATCTCAGTATAAATCAAATTTTCTCTATATGATTACAATAAGTATTTTGCAAACTAGATTCTCACCTTGTCTTCAGGTTGGGCTCCTTCAATTCCCCACTGATGAATTATTCCTTCTGACCCATCGGGAACTGGGATAAAACCACTTGTCACCCCACCAATGGGACCTGTCCCACAGTCACAAGTCAGCAGCAGAAGAGGGGCCACTAGAGAAAAATAAGCCCAAATATCAGAATATTTGAATCAGCTAGAAACTGCTGGATGTTCCAATTGTCAGAAACATTACAAAGAAAATACAATATTTTAAATCCTTAAGGAAAATTCCTAATGAAAACATAGTTAAGTTGTACAAAATAAAATTTGGCAAATGAAGCACACTAAATTTTCATATGGTTATGAAACTGAAGAAGAAGAAGACAGGTGAGATCGTTTCATGTGCAGGTGTATCATCTTAAAATAGGCACTTTCTGAGAAATGAGAAAGGGGTTTAGTAGCTTAGTTCTTCAGTTCTTTTCCTTAACACATTTGTATGATAACTTGCATTTATTTGTACATATGTGAGGCCATATATATTTTTTCAGGTAAATATACAGATGAGTATTCCATGTAAATGGATAAGATTTTAGGTGGGTGCAATTATGTTTCAGTAATCTGACTTTGTGTGTTGTTTAAATATTATGAAGTATGTTGATCAGTGCACTCTTATGACTTGAGAATCCCTAGCTTGCAAGGTCTTCTTTCTACTGTGACCACCATTTTTTCTGTGCACATCCTTGACAATAAAGATTAATGCATTTTTCCTAAAAGAGCAAGAAAGGAATACTCATTCTTGAAAGCAGGTATTTACTATTCTCTGTTGTCAAAGACCCATGCCTCCCTGTGGCCTGCCAAGGCCACCTGAACCCTACTGTTTGAACTGGCCAGTTATCAGTAGCTTAGTGAGGGGTCTAGAGTTCAGCCTCTGGACAGACATCCAGAGTTTGAATTTTGGCTCCACCACTTATCTGATATGGACATTGGGCATGGTTTATAGTCTTTGTTTGCTCAGTTAATTCATCCATTAAATGGAGGAATAACTAGTATTTTCATCATAGGTTGTCATGAGGCTTAAATGAGCTAATAAGGTAAAGGTCAGTAGTGAATGGAATCAAGATTTCTAGTATTGTTAGGATGAGCTACACCATTATGTAAATTAGGTCAGTCTTATATATAATGTGAAAAATTAGACCTAGCATATAAAATAGGTTGGGTATAATGAATACAGTATTTCAAAATTTAATTTTATAGTCATATAAATGTTATTTCTAGAGACTCTTTTGCCATCTTCAATAAAGATTAAGTTAATCTTTATTAAATATGAGGAAAGATTATTTGTAAGGTTGATTAATGTAAACCTAAGTAGTCAGCATTTTCATATGGGCATTATAATCTTTAAAAAATCTTATCTATCATTATATGTGCAATGTGTATTTGGTTTTTCAAAAGCATTGAATGTATTTCTACAGTCTGAAAAATACATGTTCAGCTCTATATAAAATGCAAAACATAGCATTTTGCAAATGGTAGACTCGCATAAAGCAAATTTTACTGTAGGAATAACACAGCATGTTTCCTCTGACTGTTGCTTGAGATACACTCCAAAATGTGCAGTGGCCTATGAGATATACCATACACTTCAAATGTGCACATTTCAAAGTCAAATACTTTATTGCTGCCTTACAAATCTGTGCTTCCTCAATTTTCAGTTTTATTTGATGACTTCAGAATTCAGTGACTAACAAATATATATTCCTATGTGTCATCTGGCCTTTTAGTCCAATCTTCCTTTCTATGACTGTCTTAGTCTGTTCATGCTACTGTGATTAAAAACACCTTGGACTGGATCATTTATACATAATAGAAATTTATGGCTCACAGTGCTGGAAGCTTGGACATTCAAGATCCAAGTGCCAGTAGATTTGGTGGCTGGTGAGGGCACCTTGTACACGTCCTGACATTGCAATAGGGGACACACAAAGCTCCCTCAAACTTCTTTTATAAGGACATTGTTTCCATCCATTAGGGTGGCTCCCTCATGACCACATCACCCCCAAAGTCTCCATCCCTTAACAATATTGCATTGGTAATTAAGCTTTGTCATATGAATTTGGAGGATGAAACACACTCATTCAGACCATAGAAATTAGTCTCCAAATCTTGTCAAAATATAATAGTAATATTTTGTACACTTATCTTTTCCTTTCTAATCTTGTGTCCTGGCTCTCTATGTGGCTTCCACTATCTCTCCAGAACTATTAATAACTTCTTAACAGTTCTTTTCTTTCTAACTTATTGTACACACTCCTGCCCAGGTTATCTTTCTGAAATATAACTATTATCATGGTAGCCCTTTATTCAAATATCTTCAGCAATTCCTCTTTCTCACAGCTTAAAGTACCAATACCATAGTGTCTATGTATAAGCTTTCCCAAAATTAGTCCCAATGAATCCTCCATCTTCATCTCACCATACTTAGCCTCCCAAGGACATGCAATTTGTAAAACCCATTAACTGTTTGTCTCACACTGTTACGTTTTGGAAATAGCCTCCTTTTTTTGTTGTTGTTGGTACTGGGGTTTGAACTCAAGGGCTCTTGTTTGCTTCACAAGCCTGAAAAAGCTGATTTTTCTTGTTGTTTGGTAGCGTTGGGGTTTGAACTCAGGGTCTCATGCATGATGGGTAGGTGCTCTACCAGTTGAGCCATATCACCAGCCCCAACCTTCCCTTTTTTTATACTTATTACGTCCTACTCATTCTCCAAGGCTCACATGACTAGCTCCCCTATACCGTGAAGCCTTCTGTAATACCCCTGTAGTCACTTCTATTCTAGCCTTATTATGGTTTAATTTTCACACAGTTAGATGTGTTTACATCTGTGAACTGCATGAAAACCAGAATCAAGTTCTGTTTCAAACTTGAACATTTTGTTCAAGTTGACTAATAGGAGATTGAAAACTGAAACTCTGAATGCCAATTCCAACTATTGAAATTATGCATAGTATCTTTAGAATAATAAACATGTTTGGGGAAGGAGAGAAAAATACAGTGTATAGCGATAGAGAATATGAGGTCATATTCTCTAAGAACTGGAGAAGTGATTGTGAATCGATTAAGAATCTCTTATTTTAACAAGATTTATCACAAAGTTCCTTTAAATAGAGACCCCTTACATTCAAAATACTATTTGATCTATAAGATTTTGATTCAAATACAATTTTCCCGAACCTGTCTATTGAATTCAGTAAATTTTACTTTTATTGAAAAACAATACAGGGCTGGTAGAGCGCCTGCCTAGCAAGCTTGCGTTCCTGAGTACAAACCCCAGTACCACAAAAAAAAAAAAAAAAGAAAAGAAAAACAATGCATGTGTGAATGTGTTCAATAAACTTAATCTTACTAATGTGAAAGTCTTAAAAGGGATACATATTCAGGTGGTAAGCTCTTTTTTGAGGAAATGCTGAATTAAACAATAACGTACTAGAGCTAATGCTCAATTAATGCTCCTTGTAGAGCTCTAAGCCTGTGGTATCCTATATTCCTTCCCAAAGTTTATTTCCCCAGCATTCTCCCTTTATTTCAGAATCTCACGAGACTTGAATATGGACAGATATCTTAGAAAGTGATGCATTCATGGGCAAAGCCTTCATTTTGATCATGAACATTACTGGCAGACTTAGAGTCTTTATAATTTCTTTTTCTCCCTCTTGGTTCTCTTGTGCTACTGTGCTCTAAATGTCTGCACACATGATTTGCTTTGCTATATTCATTTTGATCCACAGCAAGTGACAATTTAAACATTTCAGATTCTTTCTGCAAAATGATCCCTAGCTTTGCATGTAAGATGGGTAGAGGGTGGGTCTTCCCCATTGCACAGAGGAGAATGGGCAGTATGAAAGCCTTTGTAAATGATGTCACCCCCATGGTCATTGAGTGATGCATTTGAATACTTACACAGTAACAGCAAAAGTCCAAGAAGGAGCAGACCGATGGCAGCAGGCCCCAGCCTCCACGACGACTTCTCATATATCACCTGAGGGTCTCTGCTTGGGTTGGAAGATCCACAGGTTCCCCTGTCATCACACCGACACACGTTCAGAGTCAAGATCTCTGGTGTTTCACACTGCCTGTCCTGATTGTCCGCAACCAAGAGGGAGACTCTGTACACTCCGGGGGAGACCTTTTGCTGGGCATTTAGGAGGGCTGAGGTATCTGTAGAGAAACAATTGCAGAAATCAACAGTAGGACAGTAGTCTTTTGCTTGTTTTTCTTTCTTTTTTAAATGATGGTGCTGAGGACCAAACCCAGCACCTTGCTCATGTTAGGCAAGTGCTCTACCACCGAGTTATATTCCCAGCCTTCTTTTGTTCTTAAAACTTATTTTTGAGAGAAGGGATTGAATGAGACCAAAGAAAGCACAGCCACAGAAGGCATACCAAAACCCCCTCAAAAAACAAAAACCCAAAAAACAAAAAACAAACTTATTTTTGATAACAAAGCTAGAGTTGCCTTAGAGATCGCTGTTGCAAACAGGACTGATGTGGTTTGAGCAGTATTGAGAGCTACAAGATTTATGTATATCTGTCTACATCTTCTTGTCCTCTCAGATCCAGACAAGTCCATTATAATTCCCCATGAAGACTCAGTTTTATCCTGCCTTTCCCAATAAAGAGGATGAAAGGAGGTATTGTATAACTGTTAAGCCCCTAGCCCTGAGACTTACCCATTTTCTCCTACTCCTGCACCAGTCAGTCTTCAGTTGCATGTGGTTCTCTGGTGTGTGTCTTCCCCATCCTCCACCCCAAACTCCATGTTCACACATCTGACTCATAAAGACTGAGTTCAGCTTTGGCCATTGATACCTCACCTGCTCCTCTTAGTTCTCATCCTATGAACTAAGGGCCTGTTGGATGGCATTCCCAGTGGAGGGGCCTGTTGTTTGTCTGACTGCTGAGCATCAACTGTTCTCCATTCACCATTGTTACACTACCCATTGCTAAGGGGATCCTGCAACTTTGTTGTGTTGTTTAAATCGTTCTTGATCCCACCATGCCCTTTGACATTGTGCCCTGGCTGCCCAGGCCAAACACTGTTGTCTTGCCCATCCTCACCCAAGCTCTCTTTACATCCAGGCCCTCTCTGATTTTTTCTGTCTCCTCATTGGCTATCTAGCCGGAAAACTCATTTGGAGCCAAATGTTACATGTAGTTTGGAGCTAGACTCATAAGCAGGATCAGAAAGACTCATAAGCAGAATCAGAAAGACCCAAGGGCAGAAGGTAAGGCAAAACAAAATCTCTTTAGTAACACTGGCAGTGGCTGCTACCCATGGCTACAGGGCACCATGGGATATATCCATGAAAGGGAATAAGACTTGAAGTGGCTAGGAACATTGCAAAGATTATTTTTTCATTTTTTTTAGAAAGTAGCTACTCTGAAATGAGTCCTTCTATTCTTCTGGAGCTATAAAGAAGCAGTAACTTTCACTATGGAAACAATTACCTTTACTCACCATTGAGTGTTGTGATATGCCACACAACTGGCAACTTCAGAGGCTGTTCCTCCAGTGAAAATGTGTAGGGGCCACTGTATTTACCCCTCTCCTGGGTTCTAGCTGAGACGACCACAGAAGGTGATGAGCTACAGAGTACTTCTTTTTCCAGGACAACCGATGGACAATTTTCATTATAACTGGGTACTTCAACATATACTGTGCCTGTAGCAGTTTTACCCGTGTTTTCTGTAAGAATAACAATAAAAAGTTAAACCAAAAAAAAAAAAAACCCTCCTCCCACTCTTTTTGAGACAGGATGTTCTGCCTCAATCTCACTAGCTTAAAAAAGAATCTTTTAAATTTCTTTCTTGTAGCCAAGTTAATGTATCTTCTTATGAGAAATTATATTTGTTATTCTCAGAGGTAAAAAAAAAAATCTTCCTTACTCAACTCCACTAATTTTCATTTGCCTTACCTACATAAAGAGAAGAGTTTATAAGATTAACTAAAAACTGAAGGTAAAACTTTAGGAAATCCCGTGTAAACAGTAAATGATATAATATGTAAAATCCTGGAAAATGATTTTTTGTTTTGGTATGAGATTAAATCTTCCTGTTTTCTGGTTCTTAAAATCTGGAAATGATTTTCAAATATTTTTGGCTTATTATTTTTTCTACTCTTTTAAGGAATGCATGCTATGTGGAAACCAGTCTATATGTAAATGAAATTGTAATTAAACCTGAAAGAAAAATGTCTATTTATTTTGCATGTTGATGTTCTCCATTTTGTTCTATTTTATTATATTCAAATAAAATGCTGTTTTTAAGCCTCTCACCTACAAAAGAGACATCTTCCTATTTCTGTAACTTCTAAAAAGTGAACTTCAATTTACTAAATAGGCTGGTATCTTTAATTTAGTAGCATTGCCTATTAATTTAATATGCTTGAAATCAAGACCAATAAGGTGATGAATTCACCCATCACAAATGAAATCAACATAAAACAATAGCATTTAAAGCTGTTATTTCATTAGTAATCAGTATGTGACTTTTGCTTCTGAAGCTTAAGCTAAAAATATTTATAATAAATAATAATTATTATTATCCAAGACATGATTGGAGAAAAAATTTGAAATGTTGATAACCAAACAATAAAATTAAAAAATATCAGTGGTGAGATTAGGAGTCATTTCTGTTGTTACTCTTGGTGCTTTTTGCAGTTTTCCCAAGTGGTAATGTTTTTGGTGTTTATTTTTTTTGGTCCTTTTCATGATTTGGCTCTTCTTTGGTGTTTGATGTTGAGCATAAATCAGTTTTATGCATGAGGAAACATATGTACTCAATGAATACTATTTAAAAACATTCCAAGAGAGAAAATTATGTTATTCAATGATATAAGTACACATGTCTCTACAGGTAACACAAAAGGGACCATCCATCTGTAGTGAACTTCTCTGGTGGCTTTCTGTAGAAATCTTTATTGATCCTCTGAAACCCAGGAATTCTGTGGATCAAGAAACTCCCCCTGCAACCACGGTAAACCATAGGGACCACACAGAATCCACTGTTGATAAAACTCTACCGAGAAGCTGAATTCCTAGTTTTCTCTCCTAGAGAGATTTGCTTTGGACTTGAGACTCAAAGCCCCTAAGATAACAATCTTTATTGATTAACAAATCATAATCATGTATTCATAAAGAAATGCTCATTGTAACAACATTTCTATAAAAACCACTGAAATATTTTTCTTACCGTCTATGGCCAGAACCTCAGCTGTGATTGTCCTATTAACTATGAAAGTAGAATCTCGGTCAATGTTTTTGACAAATTTGATTTGAGCAGTTTTTGGATCAATAATTAGCAAACCACCATCATTACGACCCATGATGTATCTGTTTTATAACAGAGAAAAATAGTTTTCTTTCACATATGGAATGTTACTTATTTAATAAAAATTACTCATTTTACATTTAACATTTATATTTAATATAAGACCTTGAAGCATGCACTTAACAAAAGTGTCAGAAAGTTAACATGATACAGGTGAGTCATATTTTGTAATTCTTATGTTTCAGCTCTATGCAATAAAATAATAAAATAAAATACCAGTGTATTCAGTAGTTACCTTGCATGGTGCTTTTTATTTTAGGCAAATATGTTTTTGCCTATTCCTTGGATTCATGTGCAACGTGTTTTATCTGACTGAAATGTGGACATTGTCTTCTGATGAACGTCTAATCCTTTGTAGACGTTCTAACCTTCTACTTAAGTAGAAGATTCTGTAAACTTTTTCCTGATCTGTCTTGACAGGTTAAAGACCATCTCTAAGTTTCCACTTTGACTTATGCATGTGTTATTTTTGCTCACAGTATATGTTCCATAGACTTATCTACATGTCTCTTCTTGAGTTATCTACTTCCTCTTCCTCATCACCTTTGTATCTGTTGGCACACAACTATCTGTGCATTATGTTGTGAATGTTTACAGATTAAAACTACCCCAAGGAATAATAAGATACTATGAAAAAAGCCTTACCTGACAGACAAGGCAGCTTTGCCAGTGTCCTCATCTATTGCTTGATAGGTTCCCAGGACATAATTGACCAGTTTTTTACTACTTATGCCTTTTTGCACAGTGAATGTCTTGGATGTAGGATGGAATGAAATTCCTTCTTTTACATTTATTATCTGAATTGTGACTGGGGTAGACTGCACTTGATATTGAGAGATTACTGACTGGTGAAATTCAGCTTTGTTTCTGACGGCAATACTAAATTGTATACTTTGTATTTGTTCATAATCTAGAGCCTGGAGTAAAAATAAAATGAGAAGGAAGGAGATGTCACAAAGTTATAATCTGGCAAACCCAGCAGAGGACAGAGAACTATATGCAAGAGGCAATGACTGTGTCTTTTATTTCTGTACAGCAAAGCAGTTTCAGAAGTCATTGTGATGTTGAGATGGAGAAAGTTTTAGGATTCATAACTCATTACAACTTACTTTGTACCTCCTTTTTAGACTAGCAAAACATCATTATAATTTCTTTAGGCCATAAGGTACAGTGCAGTGTGAAGAGTCTGGTGATGTAGTTTGAACCTTGGTTCTGCTGTTTAAAAGCTGTGTGACTCAGGGCACAACATTCAATTTCTCTGATCCTCAACTTTTCAGTTCTAAAACCAAACCTTACCTCACCAGGTTGTTGTGAGGATAAAACAAATTAAGTTCCATTATGTATTTCTCTTAAAAGCAGCTATGGTTTTTCCCACAGAATATTCATTGAATTAATGTGCAATAATTTTTTTTTCTGTTTAAATAGAATTCCTAGCTATAAAGGCAAATTTTCTAAATCGTGTTTGGCAAAAAGGCCTCTACATATCAGTGAGTCTTCATGGAACCATTTTCAGATGGTCTTGCATGATAACTATTGACCCTTTTATTAAGGTGAACTGATCAAGGCCTGAGGAATCCCAGGATAACTTTTTTCATTCACTAATCTTTTTTTTTTTTTTGCAGTGTGATGAAATAAGGAAAAAACACTAATTTTTGTTATAGCTATTTGTCATTTAATATATATTAGGTGAGAGATCTAAATTTGAGTTTTAACTTTGCAATGACTGGCTTCATGTACTCAAGTGAAAGAAAATGATGCATAAACACATAATTGGAAGATGACGGTATGAGACAAAGATATTATAGAGCCCATGTGTGAAAACAAGGGAATATTTCTACTTGGCAGAGTTAGGAAAGACTTCTGAGAGGTTCAGATCTGAGCTCAATGTTGAAGGACCTTGAGAAGGTAGCTGAGAAGTTATCCATGCACAGGTGAAAGCAATTGCAAATGCCCAGTGTTGCAGCAGATGATAGGGCGTGGGGTGGCTGCAGGTGGTAAAGAGCCTTGTGCACCTTTGGGAAGAAGGCCAGCTTCATCATGAAGGGTTATCCAACCTGGCTGCACATTAGAGTCACCTAGGAGACTTTAAGAACCCACTGCTGCCAGGGCATCCCCACAGAGCCATTGAACCAACAGTTCCTACCGTCCCACTGTCTAGGAAGAGTTGCAGTTGACTTGACAGGGCCACCAGGATCAAGGGCCAATGGAGAGCCAGGCAAAGTTAGAAAGAGAAGAGTAAATGCTAGAAATTGTTTCTTAAGGAAAATGTAGTGGTGGATTGGTGACACCGAGGAGAATAAAGTCAAGTAAAGAAAAGAGGTAAGGACATCTATTAGGAGGTCTGGCTGTTGTCTAGGAGAGAGGAAACAAAGCCAAGCAGAGCACAGGTGGTAAGAAGGTACAGGATGGTGACACTTTAAAGGTAACTTGTAGGTGGAATTTGGTGACTGGCTGAATGTTGTGAGGAAATGCCACAATTTAAGGATAAAAACCTTTGGAGACTGAATGACACTAATACGTAAGATAGGGAATAACTCATTCCCAGGCATTGCTGGGAGTTTATACAAAACTCTTGCAAGTGGGATGGCTATAGCATTCTCTCTGAAAAGTAGAGCAACGAGGAACTGTTGTAAATCTTCTGGCAGTCCCATTATTAAGGGAACATTATGGGTATATCATTCCATGGTCTTAAGAAAGAGGCTCCTAAGCCAGGTGCCAGTGGTTCAAACCTGTAATCTTAGCTACTTTGGAGGGTGAAATCAGGAGGATTTTGGTTCAAGGCCAGCCTGGGCAAACAGTTTGTGAGACACTCATCTCAACCAATACCTGGTTGTAATGGCTAATGCCTGTTATCCCAAGTTAACTGAGACTCTGAGATCAGGAGGATGATTGTTCCAGGCCAAAAAAGTTTGTGAGACCCCCGTCTCAATGGAAAAAGTTGGGCATGGTAGTGTGCACTTGTCATCCCAGAGAGGGTGTGAAGCTTAAAATAGGAGGACGGCTGTCCAGACCAGCCTGGGCAAAAGGCAAGACCCTGTCTACAAAATAACCAGAGGAAAAGGGCTGGAGCTATGGCTCAAGTGGTACAGTGCTTGTCTAGAAAGTGTAAAGCCCTGAGTTCAAACACCAGTATCTACCTCCCACCACACACACACACACACACACACACACACACACACACGCACACAAAGAAGCTTTTTTTATATGGTCAAAAGTGTTATGGTAAAGACTAGCAAAACCCCTTTGTCTTCCTTATTAGGCTTGTCTCTTTTCTTCAACAAAACTAGTGATAAAGGTAGAACAGGACCTGCCTGGAACTGAGGGGGGAAGGGGGAGAGGGTGGGGAGGGAGGCAGAGGGGAGAAATGACCCAAACAATGTATGTACATGCGAATAAATGAATAAAAAAGAAGTGTTATGGCAAAGAATGTCACCAGATAGAAGGCACTTTCTTCTTGTCTGTACCATTTCCAGGCAGAAATATCCTTACATTATTCCAGATGGGGAGTCTTTCATAGTGAAGCCTGTCAAATGGAAGTCTTTCCTCAATGATTCACTTTTATCTTGCAGGTTTTATTCATATCTTCCTATTTTCTAGGAAAAGTTGTGATTTCTGTCTCTGATGACTATAGCTAATGTACTTTAAATGGGTTGACAAATTCACAAGCCACAATTTTATGTAGTCTCATCTCTTCCTAACTCTAATCCAATTGCAGATAGTGAATTTGATTAGGTCAAGAAATACTTTACTTTTTTGTACTGAAAGCATGAATGCCCATAAACACATGTATATTAGTGTGGGTGTACATGTTGACTATGGAAAGTATGATAGCTTGGAAAGAAAGAAAGCAATATATTAAAAGAGATTATCTTTAGGTAATGAGGCTATTTTTTAACTAAAAATTCTATCTATGTGTTCTCTATAATGAAGTGTTTATTGGTAGAAATGATAGTTTTGGCTAATAAAAGGTACTTTTAGCAATAAGGAATCTCAGCTTACCTTTACCACCTTCAAGATGCCTTCGTTGGTTCTGGGATCAGTTTCTATTTCAAACCAGTTCCCTTCATTTCCAGAGGTAAAGAAATACACAGCCCGCCAGTTATCTGAGTATTCTTCATCCCAGTCTGTTACTTGAAATCGAAGTAACTCGGAATTTAAAGTATTTTCCTCAATACGTGCTAAATACTTAAAAGGAGGAAAACAGAATTTAAGGCTCACTGCTAGGTTTTACTCAAAAGGATTATAATTATTTTCAATGATATTAGTCATTGCTCCTCAAAGTAAGTATTGTGTCCTTGGTGGTTTCTGAATTCTTGCATCTTCAAAAAGCTTATTTTAAATAAAACTTAAATATCAAAAGGCAGGCAGATACTGAATCAGCAAAACATGGAGTATATGTAAAAATGATTCTCTGAGGAACCATGGGTATACCTGAGAGTCTGTAAGCACCGGAAAGTTATCATTGACGTCTTTCACTTTAATACTACATTCGCATTGAGTTGATAGGCCTTCTCCATCTTTGTCTGCACCACTCACAACCAGACGATAGCTACTAACTTGCTAAATTCGGAGAAAAAAGTAAAAATTATTACTCTTCCAAGAATGGCCACTATTTGCTTTCTATAGGTAAGATGGTGAAAACCTTCATGTCATTGTTCATAGATCACATGTATTATTAGCTGTCCTTGATAGAGGAGGTGTGGGGGGCGCTGGATGATGGGGTGGATGTTTGAAGGGCTAGAACAGGCTTTCTATTTTGTAAACTTTTTTTTTTGCAGTGGTGTAACAAATTTTGATTCAAAATAGACACTCTGAAAATAATAGGTAAAATACAAAGGTCTGACAAACTCTCTGAATTTACAATAGAGCACACCATACTATCAAGCCAATTTTTTGTAAACTTCTGAAGGCAAGGTAGAGCAAAAACAGGCAATGAGTATGGGGAATGATGATCTGAGGGAAGCCCACATACAGAGTTTCTCTGCTAGTCTTTTGGGAAAATCATTTGTGTAAACTTCATATGGAGGCTGAGAAGTTAGGGCTGACAGAGACAAATGGTGATGGTGGAAAATGATCAAGGGAAGAGAGGAAGGGGATTCCTTGGTGTTTTGAAACAGAGGTAAAATTATAAAGCAGAAATCTAGAGAAAAAGTATGACATCAGAAAAGGCTCACATCTGTAATCCTAGCACTCAGCAGGATCGCAGTTCCAGTCCAGCCCTGCAAAAAAGTGTGTGAGAACCCATCTCAACTAATGAAAGTTGAGCATGGTGGCACATGCCTGTCATTCCAGCTACAGTGGGAAGCATAAATAAGAGGATCATGGTCTAGGCTAGCCCTGGGCATAAACCCAAGACCCTATTTGAAGAATAGGTCTTAAGTGGTGGAGTGCCTGCCTAGCAGGTGCAAGGCTCTGATTTAAACTCCAGTACCACCAAAAAGAAAGAAAAAAGCTTTATGCCACCTTTTCCTCCATTATCTGAGGAACTAATCAGAGTGCATTCTTTGTGTCTATAGGCCAATGTCTTTGATTCTTCCATGTTAACTTCCACTAGTATGTGTAGGGTTCAGTTGGTTGTGCAAGTTCCAGGAATCACCCATGAGAAGCAAACAATTTCCCTAGGTTGGCAGCCTCCTTTTCTTTCTCCTTTTATTCTCAGGTAAAATGGAAACACATCTCTTGGGATTGTTAGAGTCAAACCCTTTAGTGTTGAATGCTCCCTAGTGACTTGCTTTACCTCTCGATCAAGAGAACTGGTCAGAGTATGAACTTCTCCAGTGTTTCTGCTTATGAGGAACATGGGCAAGCCTGCAGGTTCCTGAGAAACAATTTTGAAGGCAATTTTTGAGTTCAAATGGTTTGGTTCGTCTGCATCTGTGGCATTTAGTATCATCACCAGTGAGTCTAGGAATACAGGAAAATGTCATTAAAGAAAGTATAAAGGCTGACATTAATATGCAACAGTTTCATGTGGATGCTTATTTTTAATACCTTTAAACTACCTCTGTGTTAAACAAACAAACAAACAAACAAACAAACAAAAAACCCCTCAAATATCCTTATGCTCTCTCTTTCAACCAGGTAGAATTTGCTGCCTTCCATAAAAACCCTCCAGGTCTCCCTCAGCCTTGGCTCTGTTGAGGTTGAGGACATTTTCTATTTTGATTTCTTCCCTTGATAGATATTCTTATAATTTCCCCCATTTTCCTAGTGATCCAAATACTGTAAATATGTCTCTATCCCTTTTCATTTAAAAATGCCCAGCTCATGAATCCAGGATACCTAAGGATACTTCTTAGTCACAAGAGCATTGTGACTACCTGATGCAGTTTGTACAATAGAATAAGATGCTATCAACTAGGTAACAGGCCTATAATCTACAAATATAATTACATAGACAATTAGATCAGCTACAGATTTTAGAAAAGAAAAAACAAAATATGCTGATGAGAAAATTAACAGAATAAGTTAGTTTATAAAATAATATGCTATAAGGATACTTGTAATTGAAAAACAGATGAATTGAAGTGGCAGGTGCTGTGAAAGACTTACTTGAAGCGCTGTTTTCCTCAATTTCACCCTGGAATATGCTTTGTGAAAATACTGGAGGATTGTCGTTGACATCTAAAATTTTGACTGTTAGTATAAGTGGCCTCTCTACATCTTGCCCCAGAGTATTTAAAGCTCGACATGTGATCTAGAATAGAGGGAAAAAGGTTATTACTCTACAAACTTAGTTTGCATATAATTAAAGTTCATAGAAATAAAGCTTCTTCTGACATATATAGATAGTCTAGAACTTTTGTGCAAAGAAGAAAAGTACTTCTCCAAAGGCCTGTAGACAAAGTGAAACAAGTTGCCCACTCTTGCCATTGACCAGTAGTGCCTTCCTCCCAACTAGTGCATCTCATGAGAAGATGGAGCCCTCAGCAGGCTGTGTGCTGGATTTTGACCCTCATTCTTTAGGTGCACAAACATCAGTGGAGACTCTTTGTAGAGGGACTAATATTTTTAGGTGTTGGTTGACTCATGTACTTCTCTCTCTTTCAAGTTCACCAGTAGAAGAGTCACCTCCTTCATAGAGCACAAAGAGAAGGGTAGTTTGTGTCTACGGCCATACCACCCTGAACGCGCCCGATCTCGTCTGATCTCGGAAGCTAAGCAGGGTCGGGCCTGGTTAGTACTTGGATGGGAGAAGGGTAGTTTGATGTTGGAGACACAGACTTACCAGGAAGTTTGGGGTTTCCTCCCGATCAACTATGGCTGTTATATTAATATCACCAGTGTTTCGGTCAACAACAAAGATTCCAAAAGGGGGCTGATCAATTCCCACTCCAGAAATATGGTAGGTAATTTTCTGGGTTGCTTGGAAATCTGAAGTGATCTGCAATAAAAAAATACCCAAAATCTAAGGCCATCTTCATTCAGGCCTCCTCCACCTCCAAGTCTAAAGCATCTGCTCACTTGATCCACCCTGACTTTGTGGCATTGACTTGCTGCCTTTTTAGATACTAGGAATATGAAATAAAGTCAAGTTGTCACTTCTGCTGATCAGCATGGACCAGTATGGACCAGAATGTGTTAATCATTTTGACTTTAAAATATTTGCCCAGTGTGACCACTGTGGTTATGGTAAAATGTTGAAACTTAAGGACATTTATTATTGACAAGGCTACATCAGAATGTTCATTCCTTACTTCATTAAAAAAAGATGCTTCCTTAAGTTTTGAGAAGAGGAAATGAAAGGGAAAAGGGTGAGGAATTATGCAGTAGGTATTAAAAATATATTAAAATAAGTTGCTTTTTATTATAACTTTTAAACTTTTGAATGAGGGATTTCAAATATATGTATGAAGCTAGAATTGTATAATAAACCAGATACATCTCATCAAACGCTTCAATAATTATTCACAAATGGCCAATCCACTATTTGTTCAGGCTTATACACTACTATTGGTCAATATATCTCTTAATTCCATTTTATAACTCTAGAAAATATTACTCCTCCATCTTTTTATTTCTCACTTTTATATTACTGCTGTATTTTTTGAGATGGTGGTTCATTTGTTCTGTGGACTTCCCAGTCTGCATTTTTGTGATTGGAATTGCTGTATTGTTTTAAATTTACATGTAATGCATTCATTCTAAAAACTGCTCTTGCTGATATGACTTACCTTGGCAATTGGGTTTCTTTTTGAGTTGTCTTCTCTTTCTCTGCAGGGTTTTGCAAATTTTACCCATTCACGTTTATATCTTCTTTTGACTTGTTGCATTGCTGTCTCATTTTTTCTGTGTTGTCCTTTTGTCTTATATAAAAAAAATTTCAATTTATTATGCATATTGTTGGCAGTTTTTGCTTTGAATATTGATTTTAGATACCTATGTTGAGGGACTCCTTATGTCTCAAGATATCTAAGGCTGTTGATGCACAATTTGCTCTGACACTTTGTCAAGAAAGGAGCATTAAATAACTAAAGTCATTATAAAGCTATATGATTGTTAATATTAGCATTTGAGGATATTCTGTATTTCCTCTCTATTCTCCACAATATCTAATTATTCTAGGCACATAGGATTTGACCTGTTGATTTTTACATGAGATAAATTATAAAAATAGTATTTATAGATGGCTCTTTTCTAAATATTGTTGGGTTCATTGTTAGAATTTTAATTTTATGTATTTTCACATTTAAGTTATAAAATAATTGTAAACATTAAATATTTGCTTTTCCTACATAAATATAATTTTAATTCTTTTTTGCTAGTAAAGTAGAAGAGTTTATTGAAAGGTAAAAAGTGGAAGAGTGGAGCCTCAGGGAGGGTGCCCCTAATTTTAATTTTCAAAACTAAGCTGTTTTTTAATTACAAAAAACTTTTTCATACTTTACCTCTAGTTGCAATTCTCCATGAACAAATATGGCCACCTGTAGGCATTTAAATAGAATCAAATTACATGCAAGTTCTTCAAATAAGAAATAACATAAAGTTAATAATCCTGAGTATTATATTTTACTGATCATATTTACTGATCATTTACCTAGTTCAAAAAAAGTAGGTTTGGAAAAGCAGAATGAAAGTGTAAAATCCTACCTGGGAAAGGAGTATTGTTCTCAAAGTAAACAAGTTCTTCCAGTTCTTATTCTGACTCCAAAGTTTCAATGACATAAAGAACCTATGCTTAACAGCCAGTTGTAGCAACGACATGTTTTTATTCTGTTAACAGCTCCAGAAGCTATGGAGTTCATTGCTTTGGGAAATGAGTATCATTGTGATAAACTTCAAAAAGGGGTCATAAGGGCTTACTAAAAGCCTTTGCCTACTTGTATGAGGGCAAGCCTGCATTAGCTGCAATTTTGGGGCAGTTTCTTTAGATGTACAAGAGCAGAGAGAATAGGATGGAACTAGTCTTGAGGGAATGGAACGTTTTATAAAAGACGGGGATATAATATTCCAATCACATACTTTTTGCTGTGGAGCAAGCTGTGCTACCTGTTATTCTTTATTATTATTGCAGTTTAAATATTGAACTCTCATACCACTGATAAAAGAAAATTAAATGAGAATAAAATGAAGTCAGGGAGACTCAGACCTTCACATTTTCAAGATCATATTAAACTGTACATTTTCTATCTTGTTTTTTTTTTAGTCCAGAAGGCATTACCCTTTCCTCTCTACACAGTTAAATATAACTCATTCTTCAAGTTCCAGCAAGCTCCATGAAACTGTCTTTAGTGATGTCTCCTATTCTGAGTTTGTGCTATTCACATTCCATATCATACAATTTAGTCCACGATGGTTTTCTATGACTTATTATTTCTTATCATTTTCTGTGTGATAAAGAATTTGCCAAGAGAATTGTTAACTTTCCAGCTCAGTTTTTTTCCCCCCTTAGGAGGTATTTAACAACTATTTGCTAATCCACTGATTATGTGATCTGAGGAGAGTTTGGTAGGAAAATGATTAAGGAAAATAAAAGAAAAAAGTAGAAAGAATAATAACAGTGGCTAATCTTTATTTTGTGACTTTAGTTTTATTTATAGAGCTTTATTCTTATTTAATATTTAGTGTAGTCATCTGAAGGAGATTCTATTGTTATAATCCTTATTTTATGGATTACAGAAAGCATATATGGGAGAACAAACACTTTGCTCAAGCTAACAGCCCCCCAGCAGCCTTACTCCAAGGAGTGTACATTAACATGACACTAGATTCTAACTTAAGTTGGTTAAAATAAATAGGAAGAAAAAACCCTTAGTGGTGGGAAGAAAGTTATATGACAGTCAATTTAGATTTGCAGCTGGGCAAAGGCTATGGTTACTCCTGAAACAATGTAGGTTTATTACATTGTTTATTTTCAAAGGTTATAATGAGTAGGCAAGTACAAGTCTGAACTAAAGGGGTAATTATGTGGGAAACAGGATGTCAGGACCCTTCCATTCTAAACATTTCAACTGAGACTCTTATTTTAAAGAGTGTGTGTTCAAATTGTCTGTTATGAACCATTATTGACAGGTCTCAAAATGATCTTATAACATCATTGCTCTTTGTTAGGCAATATCACGAGTTAGTTGGAAGAAAAGACTAGAGCAATGTGGTAATTGAACAACTCCTTTCTCAGATCATAGGAGGAACGACTCAGCTACACGCGAGGGCTGGGCCAGGCATGTTCCCCTTTACAGGAAAACTGGAGTCATCTAGAAAATATGAATCATGTTTGCACTAGCTCCACAGAGAATGAGTCTTCAAGTTGACATTAGGCACGGTTTCTATTTTCCTGGGAAGCAAAGGAAAACTATGGAGAATTAACACTGTAGATAGTTGTTTCTGCTTTTCTCCATCTTTTCACAGAATCAGAGCCCTTAAGTTATTCATTATAAATTTTTACTCTTTCCTGTCTTTTAAAGCCAGACCACTAAGAATGCCCCCTAATTTTAGGAAACATTGTGAAAATGTGTGTGTGTGTGCTTCTTTCAAGAATATGGGCTAAGAAACATTTCTGAACATTGTAATTTTCTTTAGATATTTATATAATCAGTCTTACATCATTTAAAATACTATTTTCTAAAAAATGTGTTTTAGTTCATGAATGCTTATAGAATTGCTGTATTTTAGTCAATTTGCTAATATAATTATTTTGATCATTTTAAAGCAATTTATCTTATTTATAAGTTATATAAATTTATCACACAATACATTGTTTTAAAATATGTATACATTGTAGAATGGCTAAATCAAGAAAACAAATATTTAAATAGTTTTCTGGCAACTTAAATTAACTAAATTGTCCCTTTTGTTAGCTAACATTGGAAATACCAACATGGAAAGATCAGCCTCCCAAGTGCTGGAATTGTAGGCATTTGCCATGCCCAGTATATCTTGTGCATTTTGGTTATATGATTTTTAAAGCATTGATATAGCCTAAATACTTTGGAATACATAGGAATTAGCAATATCAGATTAAGAGGAAATCTGATTATTAAGTAAGCACATGAAATAAAGTAATTTGATATCATATGCCCTATTTGCTAAAAAGTAAAAATAGTTGTATCATTGATATTCCTACTAAATATGGTAGATACCCAGTAAATGTAACTTGAGGATATAGTGGCTAGATTTTTAAAAGCTATTTGTATTAACACCTACTATTTTACTTTGTTAGGCAAGGATTCTCTTTAGGAACTCCACACTTTACAGTGGGGATCGAGATCATTAGGCTATGGCCACTCTTCCCTTTTCTAGAATGAAGGTAAGAATAGATCACACTCACTCCTCTCTGGGAAATTCATAGAATGAATTAAGTAATTCAAAGAAATAATTACAAGCTTTAAGCATGAATTCGAATATATTAATTTTGTGGATAATATGTCATTATACATACACACATACATATACATATGTTGGTGGCTTTACTCCTATAACTGATCAGATACAATGTTGTAAACAGGTCAGGTCACAGAAATCATTCAATACATGTTTGATGAATAAATTACATAATGCACAATTCTGAAGAAATCAGTGATTTATGTTTCCTGATTTTTCTCTATACAGATACTCCTCTACTTATGATGGAATCATGTCCTGATAATCCCATTGTGAGTTGAAAGTATTGTAAGTTGGATATGCATTTAATACACCTAACTTACTGAGCATGATAGCTTAGCTTACAGTGCTTAGAACTCTTACATTGGCTTACATTTGGGGACATCATCTAACACAAAATCTATTTTATAATAAAGCATGAACAACTCATGTAATTCATTGACTTCTGTACTGAAAGTGAAAAACAGAAAGGTTGTATGGGTATGCTTTCTTACCATTGTAAAGTAGAAAAGTCATGAGTTGAACCATCATAGGACTGTCTGTATTAAATTTTTAAGTTGAAAATTTAATGACTATAAAACATTCTAAAACTCTATATTCATCAAGACAAAATCTTTAATTATATATGTTTGATTACTTAGAAATCATTAATTTTGGGCAATTCAGTTTTTAAAAACTGACATGTAGAGTAAACTCAATTAACGTAGAGGATTAATTGCATCATGGGGGGAGGAAGGTGGAGGAAGAGTGGAAATCTAGTGAAGAGTTTGAGCACATCCAATGAACACTGCATGCATATATGGAATCATCACAATAAAATCCCCTGTGTTATTAGTGTATGGTAATTCAAAAATTGAATTTAAAAATATTAACCTTTGTGTCATGATAGAGATGCTTCATAATGCAGATGCTAAGAAAAACAAATGCCCTTGGATATTCACAAACGTTCATTTTGAATGCTGTGTAGGATGTAGTCAAGTATGGTAACATAAAACTGAATACTGGATCGCAAATTTAAATTCCAATTCCAGTCCCACAGCACTGTATAACCTGGGAACAAAACTCAATCCTTCCATTGCCTCACCTGCTATATATAAGGATAATAACCATACCTTATAGATTTGTTGTAAGGATTGAACAAATTAATAGATACAAATCATGTTGATGAGCCTAACCCACAGTAAGTGCTTATTAAATGTTATTCGTTTCTGTCATCAAACAAAAACAAATAAAAAACAAAATGACATAAAAGTGTTACTTTGACTAATATGAAGTGACTTCTTATTGCTATTTACTGTCATGGCACATAAGAATGTTTTCTATTGTGACCAGAGAAACAGTGCTCCACTGTACAGCTGTGCAGGCTGCTTCTTGCACAACTCCAGGGGGCACTGCTTATACTCTTGTTTATGTGAATACACCTACTGCAGTTGAGCAATGCACAGCCTGGCCAGCTGCTCAGTAGTCCTATAAAGAAAATGTGTGCATTAGATAGATTCAATTATTCATCATATAGTGACATAATTTTCTTGTGATGAGCTTCCCAAAGCAAGCTCTTACCTTAGGCTATCAGATTGAGTCTTTACTGGAAAAGAAGGACTGAAGGCTAAGAGGTTTATGAGAAGCCTTATGAACACTGAGTGTTCTAGTACAGATGAAAACCAGTTTCAGGGATTAAGCAAGTGGGAGTGCTAATTGGCAGAAATAATTACATCTTCCTGACTGCTTCTCAAGCCAGGCAAGGCTGGGCAGCAGCCCTTGGCAGGTTATTCTGACTTTAAGTCTTAACTTTTTAGAGAAGTTTAGTAAGAAATTTTTTTCTATATTTATTAGCAATTGTTTCATTAATGAAGAAAGTATACCCCCTTTTGTTAAGATAGTTCATTTAGCATAAAATCCTTTTCCTAAAAATTTACTTTTCAGATGTTCTATAAAATAGGTGGTTGAATATAGTTTTGTTGCATTTAGAATATGTTCTACTTACAACTCGATATCTAAATTTAACTCTTCTTTTTCCCTCTAGTACCAATAACTTAAAAACTGTATTATTGAGTTTCAGACATCCCTCTTAATTTCATAATGAGTAAACTTTTGCATAGTATAGTAACATAAAATCAAATAGCGATGGGTTTTGAATTTTGTTAACTGTAAAACATTGAACAATAGTTTTCTTTGAAAACAAAAATTTTTCCCAAAAGTTTAAACCTTTGAAGATAAGTATTTTCAACCACAAATTGTTTCCTAAAAATATTTATTTTGCACTGTGTGAAGTGGGTCAGACAAGCATAAGAAACAGATACTATGACAACTTTTAAAAACAAGCTGGTATTCCTGACTATTCCTTCCCCTTCAAATCCCTGTGCCTTTCTTCTTCAGTTAATTAATCTAGAAGCCTGTACTTTTAGAAAATGTCTGTTTGAAAATACACTATTTCCTATTCATTTAAAGCATAGCTTTTATTTTTTTCTGTCAATTTTCAAAAATTAGTTTTACTATATTTCATATGCTCTATCTCAAGAAAAATGTAAGTCCTTTTTTGACTTCTTACAACTGATGTTGGTGGTTATAGGAAGATCATTATTGAGAAGTTATCAAGAGTCATCACTATTGCTAAAATATTACAAATGATAAATATCAGTCTTACAAAGCTCTTTGTATTTCTCAAAACACTCTGCATACTTTCTTCATTTTTAATATGGACATTTTAAGGAGGCAGGGGGTGAGGTGTGATCATTCTTATTTGATAGTCGAGGCTACAAGACCTAAAATTAGTCAACAGTACAGTTATAGATTCAAGCCTGTGACTTCGCTATGACATGCCACCTTACTGGCAGCCCTTGTATCGTCATTGGATGATGGAAATATTTCAAAACCTTCCAGACACGTCTTCCAACACTCAGGCCCCACCCTTCAACAATAAAAGGTGTGCATTCCCACCCAACAATGCTCTGAGGACATTGCTTTTTCCCACAACCAATCACTATTTCAGCACTCTGGGTGGCTCCCCATTTCTAAAAGGATTCCATTTGCCTTCGTAGAACTGACTTTTCAGTCTCAACCTCATCACCTTTCCTATTCATGCCCGGATTCTTCAACACAAACTTTCATTCCAGTCAAACCGGTGGGTCCATTGTCCCTAGGCAAATGCCATAACTGTACCTGTCATTGCTTGTGTTGGTCTGACAATAGAAGATGTCTCCTTTCTGCCCCTCTCTACTTATCAAATCTCAAATCTCACTGAATCCACAGAGCCTTATTTGTTTGTCTACCTCACTCCTGACTGACACTGCCTTCTACTAGTGGCATTAATAGTAGCTCATCACTGTCTAACAGAATTATGGATTTCTGGTAGTCACAAACATTAAGATATTTTTAATTAAATCTATTGTATATGAAATACTATCATCTCAATATATGTAATAAATATTAAAATTACTAATGTATTTTAAAATTCTTCTGCTTATGCTAACATTTCAAGACATAATGTATACTTTATACTTAACAGCATTCATCTCAGACCAACTATACTTCAAGTGGTTGCTAACCACATGTGGTTAGTGGTTACCATATTGGACAGGTCAGATCGAGACCATTCATTTTAGTATTTTGTTGAAGTTATACGGTTGCTAAATTAGCGTGTGTGTGTGTGTGTGTGTGTGTGTGTATGTGTGTGTGAAGTTTTCCTGAATGGAGGAAAATGTTTTAAATGTCACAGTTTCCCCCCAGGACTAGCATGATAGGGGAACTGAAGGAGGTTTTATAGTTTAAGAGAAGCCTCATTCAACCATTTATCCATCCACTCTTTAAGCAACTGTAAGAAAGATACTGCAAATGAAAAACAGCCTCAGTATAAGGATCTCATAGTTACTCTAGATAAGAGGAGGTTTATAAGTCAAAGCTCTACTAAACCAGGGAGGCCCAATTCTATGTCTTTATAATAACATTATTCTGACTCCCCACTTGCATATCCCCTGATTACTGAGCTTGGTCACTGGCATGGAAACATAGGTTATCTGGCTACTTGCAGTTCAGTCCAGAACTTTCCCATACAGAAAGTAGGGAAATTATGTAACTCTCACATTTCTCTTTACAATATTCTGGGGTCACAGAAATTCACTAACTAGCCCAAACAGTTATACTGTCATAACAGAAACAGTCTTGGGAAGAGACAATGCTCATTTTCTGTTTGGACATTGTCCTGAGAGGGAAGGCTGAGAAATTCTACCACATAAAGCAGCCTATTGTAATGTTAGGTGACTACAATGTTTAGAAAGTTCTTAAGATCTACCTTCCAGGGTGGTTTCTGGAAATCCACTTATCTCAATGTTTTAAAATGAAGAAATGAAATAAACTGATGCCCTGGCCAACCAAGTTTATCCTTGACACATGGGAATTAGTATTAGCAATTTTTAAATATTTATTTATGAACTCTAACTTATCCTCATGTAACAGAAATAACATTGTAAGATATGTTTTCCTCACCAATACAACACAGTTTAGGTATAAACTAGTCTGTAACATTGAGGCTCATGATTTGCTTTTCAGATTCTACTTCTCTTTTGTACAACACTGTGTATAACTTTCCCAATCAAGAGAAGTATTAGTTTCCTGAAAAAAATGACATAAAATTTTGTGTTTTCTCCCCATCTCAAAGAGTGGCTATTTTTACTCATAAAAATTGTTCCCTTACTGCCCCTCCCATCTTCTCTAGAGTCAAAATTGCTTTGATGTTAATTCAATGGTCTCTGACTATTTTAAAACATGCCAGAGATCAAGACCAGGCATGTAGAGTTCTTGGCTATATGTTTAACAAGAGATATGTAATCTTGGGAAATAGAAGTGGCTCTGTCTTATGTGCTTTAGTTTGTATGTTAGAAAAATGAATAGAACATTACTTTGAAGAAAATGAAGGTGTTGTGGAAAACACAATCTAAGAGGATTACTTAATTTGTTAACTAAAGAAATACAAACAATTACTTTAAAATCCACTTCTTTCTGATTTAGTTTTCTTTGTAAAATACATTTAAGAAAAAAAAAGGAGGGAAATTGGACATCTTTACAATTTCGCCTTAAGGTTAGTTTCACTGTACTCTTTTTAGAATTTATAATAGGTATCCAGTAATCCAAAATAATCTCTAACAAGGAAGGAAACAGGGAAAGTTTGTGAATAGTAGAAAAAGACAGTACTTACCATTAAGATGGCCACAGCCCCTATGGTTCTGGGGAAGAGCCAAGTCATTTTCTTTGGTTTCCCTGGTGAACAAATCCAAGTGACCTGCTGCTCTGTTCCCAGGAGACTGCATGTGATATCTCAAATGTCCTTTCTGAAGCAGCGGCTCTGCTGTCTACCACAGGAGTCTCTGGGTGGCCTGTTGGGTGGCTCCTCCCCACCCTAAAACCAGGATTGGTCTTACCAGAAACACTTGCATCACTCTGTCTCAGGTAAAAACTTAGACACACCTGAGTTCCTACAGCAATGAAATCCTTTGTTGGAAGCTGAAAGGAAAGTTCACAGGCTAAAGACAGAGTTGAATAGGAAGGTACCAGATGAATAATAAATTAATCATGATGCAGAAGCACAAAAGGTAGCCCTGACCACACTGAAAAAGAATCTAGTTAGCTTTGTATGGTTACAATTGAGTTTTGAAAGCAAAACGGGACATACAAAATTCCCCTAAATCTACTTGTGGAAGAGAGCTTATTTTCAGCCTGAGTTGGTGTGAGTAGAACTAAAGTTAAGCAAAATATGTCAAATAGTAATGCATTTTATTGACATATCTGTAGACACAAAGAAAAATACCATTATACCAAGCAATTATTAGTGCAGTTTTTTAAATAAAAATAATTAGAAATAAAATTGAAGTGACCAGTTCTAAGGGTACCTTGGATATTTGAAATACATAAAGGATGAATTACAAGAGCAGGTCTTTACTAATACTTAAATGACTTCTTTCTTATGGTACTTCTTTTCATTTATAACTTTAGAAGATAGGTTATCTTTGTGTTCTTTTAACTCCCCCAAGACATTTCCCCCCAGAGCTGTGGACCTGCCCACTGCTACATCCTTATAAGCTCCTAAACATTTGGGCTCCACCCCAAATTAAGGGAGAAGGAATAACTAGTAATACCATTTTAGTCAGTTTGCGTTTAAGATTAGAGCTAAAGTCACCTTGGAAAGTTCCATAATATTCAACAAAGGGGTTGGCAGAAGAGAAATGTTTTCTTTGTATTATCTGTGCTTCAGGTTTTAGAAGCTTTTTAGTTTCCATGAATTAATTCTAATACCAGCAGCAGCTACACAGAAAGGGTTACATAGTCCAGGGGTTTGCAAAAACATTGTATAGGCAACATTACTATTTTTTAAATGGTAAAACAAACTTCATGCTTGTGACCATTTTAAGTGGATAGCTCAGTATCGTTAGGACATTCATATTGCTGTGCAGCTGTGATCATGACCCCCATCCATTTCCAGAAAAGTCTTTTTGATATGACGTTTTTGTGAGTGAAAATGTTACTGGAACAGTCAGGTCCATCTATTTTTCTGTGACTGCTGCTTTGGTGCCACAGTGGTAGAGATGAGTAGAAATCGAGTAGTTGAACAGATTGTATAGAATATTTGCTATCTTGCTCTTTACAGGTAAAATAGAATATGATCCTTTAACAGAGAAATGATTAGTAAATCTTTAAAATTTACCTCTACTTTGAAAGCAAAGTTCCAGAAATCAAATTTGACATACTTTACAGTTCCTACCAGATTCCCAAAGCCATATTCTGTGAACTTTTTGATTAGAATTAGGAAGTGATAAAAATCTAAACATTGATCTACCATATGATCCAGCAATACCACTCCTGAGGATATACTCAAAAGACTGTGACACAGGTTACTCCAGAGGCACCTGCACACCCATGTTTATTGCAGCAATATTCACAATAGCCAAGCTATGGAAACAGCCAATATGCCCCACTACTGACGAATGGATTAAGAAAATGTGGTATCTATACACAATGGAATTTTATACAGCCATGAAGAAGAATGAAATGTTACCATTCGCTGGTAAATGGATGGAATTGGAGAACATCATTCTGAGTGAAGTTAGCTTGCCCCAAAAGACCAAAAATTGTATGTTCTCCCTCATATGCGGACATTAGATCAAGGGCAAACACAACAAGGGGATTGGACTTTGATCACATGATAAAGTGAGAGCACACAAGGGAGATATGAGGATAAGTAAGACACCTCAAAAACTAGATAGCATTTGTTGCCCTCAACTCAGAGAAACTAAAGCAGATACTTTAAAGCAACTGAGGCCAATAGGAGAAGGGGACCAGGAACTAGAGAAAAGGTTAGTTCAAGAAGAATAAACCTAGAAGGTAACACATGTGCATAGGAAATCAATGTGAGTCAACTACCTGTATAGCTGTCCTTATCTCAATTAGCAAAACCCTTGGTCCTTCCTATTATTGCTTATACTTTCTCTTCAACAAAATTAGAGATAAAGGAAAAATAGTTTCTTCTGGGTAGCAAGGGGTAAGGGGGGGGTAAGGGAGGGAGTAGGGGGCTGGGGGGAAGGGGGGAGAAATGACCCAAACATTGTATGCACATATGAATAATAAAAATTAAAAAAAAAAGAATTAGGAAGTGAAGGACTACTGAATTCTTTCCCACATGGAAAGATTGAGGCATAGGACAGTCTTTAGAAAATGAGAAGTGGTTTTTCTGTGACTGGACTAGTGAGAAAATGTGAGTGAATAGAAGCTAGGATGAGCATTATTGGATTTATTAGTGATTCATGTAATGTGGAATTCAGCAACCAAAATATTGCATACCTTTCTGAATTTAGTGTTTGAATTTGATTAACAGTGGGGAGAGTTTTGAATGTATATGCATATTTATTGATGCTGTTTTTCTTATAGTATAATAAGGAGAAATACAGAAGAATGGACAAGCATTAGAAAAGACCACCATAGTATACTAGATCAGTTTTTTTTTAAATAAGGGTATTGTGAATGTATTTGATTTGTTTTTCATTGCAACTTTATTTTCTGATTTTGCTTTTGTAATGGGAATGTATAGGGTTTGTTTGTTTTTAAGGTAGGATTTCGCTATGCAGTTCCACATCCTTGGTGCTGGGATTTCAGGTGTGCACCACCACACCCAGCTTGGGAAGATACTAACTTTCTAATTAAGTAAGGAAGTCATTTAATGCAAAGAGAGCAAGCCTCCGTGAATAACATTCTAAACTTTGGGGCAGGGAAAAAGAGACAAGCAATAAACTTTCAGTTCTTTCCTATAATTTAATATCTTGCACTTCTTCAGATTATTATGATGCTAAAGACCAATGCTATTTAAAAAATGATAGTAGTGAATTATGATATTTGTAGGCATGGCTATTAAGTTGCATTGTGGACTAGATCTTAGATATGCTTCACTTTGTTTTGATTTACCTTTTCTGAAATTCTGGTGTGTTAACAAATTTAACTAATTTGAGTTTAAAAATGGAAATTATCATTACACTTGTTTACCTGGACACAGGTTAAAGATTTCACTAGTATTTCACTTTTGCATTTTGATGGGGTGGTACATAAAGGTTGTGGGCACCCATGACAGGAGAGTATTACAGCATCCTTGTCCTGATGCAAGCTGGCTCCAACTACTAGTCTCAGTAAAGAAGGATTATAGGAAGCAATGACAAACCCCATTCTGCATGCCATGGCCAGACAGGGCTCTCAGATCCTTTTTACCCATGTGCCTTGGACAGTGTTTCAAGCCAACACTGCCTTTTCTTTGGAAGGTGGGACTGCAGTGAGGTAATAAAGCACCCTGTTGTTAGGCCTCTATTTGCATGGTGTTAGGAAGGTAGTCTGGAGGTGAATTTGGCTGGAGAGTGCATATGTGCAGTATCTTCTGTCTCTTGCTTGTTTTCAGGAAAAGGAAAGAAGGGAGGGTTTCCAGTGGTTTCAAGTGGAATGGTTACGTTTTTATTCTCTGGATAATGGGAAGCCCAACTTGAAACTGGCCCTTGCTCAAGAGGCTGAAATAAAAATGAGAATTGTAATGATAATAGTGATTAAAAGGGAGCTTTGTTGCATGTGCGTGTTGTGCTCCAGTTAATGTGCTCTATTGAAAACAGGAGAGTTAGAAAATAGATTCAACACATTACAGATTTAAAAACTAAAGAAACCTTCTGTCTTTGCTAGAAATGAAACCATATCATAGTATGGCACAGGATGGCAAGAAGTAAGAGTGAATACTTACTCACATGGGTGGGGTCTTAAGAGGTTTTCCAGTTTCTAATGCTCATTACCTACAATGGTTCCCTTGTCCATCAAGTAGAGAAAGGTAAGTAAACCAAGGCTTCACTGGCAAGCCTTCACTGGCTTTTGTTTGTTTACACTGGAAACGTGTATATAATAAGTCTTGTATGTCACGTATTACTACTTTTGATACTTAATTGTGCTTGAACGTCCACCGGTTGCATGAGCTGAGGTATTAGATTCACAAGTCAAGCATGAAGAAATTTGTAACTCTGTCTTAAAATTGCCTGTAAACATGGTAATCTGTCTCTTTCTGTTATTCAAGGTAATGGAAATCATATACCTCTCCCATTAGGATTGGTACCTGAAGGTATCCAGACAGTTCAGGAAATGTAATAACTATGTATGTAGAGAACACTCTGTGCTTTAATAATCATCAAAATACAGCTGCTGACTCTGCTTCCTTTTAGAAGGTACAAAATATGGTTCATCATGCTTCTGGGATTCCTAGAATTATTTTTAAAAAGATTAGCATAAGTTTTTATCATATACTGACTCCAGCCCAGACTTCAGAAAGGTAAACATACTTTTTTTTTTTTTTAAACCATTTTACTTATGCTGGAAGCCAGGGCCAACCTCTTTTTGTTCTGATTCAGACTTGAGTCAGTAATTGTTTCTTTGTGGTAGTATTTTTGTAAGGTAATAAAAAGTGTGACTGAGGAATTTTCCAAATGAACCTTATGTTCACTTCAACAAAGTATTTCTTTTAGGAAAAGCTTTCCTTTGGTTTATGTGATTTGTTCAAGATAAAACTGACAAGTGTGGATCTACTTCTCAGTAGATCCTTTCTTCCTTCTCTGAGCTACCTCACTAGAAAAATTCCTAACATCTGTCACACAGCTGAGGCAATGGACCTATAACTTTGCTCCTTTCTTGCCTCTTGTCCAGGCCACTCTTCATCAGGCAGTCTGAGTGTGATTTTTA